AGGCACACTCATGGGACAAAAAATATCAGTGGGCATTAATTCTAATAGGCTAGTAGTCCTTTCAACCTTCTTATAGGATTTCTTAATCATTTTGCCTTATATTCAAACCTCACACTCCTTTTGGAAATTCACCTTCATGGTTTTGATAAATCCATCTCTCATAAGCCTTTCCATCCTTTATTTGTTTGTGTCCTAGCCTTAAGTGCCATAATAGAAAATCATTCACATGATCCGACACATAAGCAAACTTATTCTTTATTTCCAATTGAAAAAGTCCATTGTAGTTTTTGGTTACAAAGACGAGCTCTCCATTCATACTTCCCTCATAGAAAAATACCTTGTTCTCCTTGCAAACAAGCACATAACCGGCACTACTCATCTTGGAAACCAGGATGACATTCTTTCTCATACCCGGAGCATAGAGAGTCTTTTATTCTCCACTCACAAGATCAACCACATAGTCCCCACATCCTAGGACTTGCTTCTTTTGGTTTCCACCCATATAGATGTATTGGGTGCCCGGTTTCACCTCCTTAAAGGATCGGAATCCATACATAGAATTTGCCACATGAATCGAGCATCAAAATCAAGGCACCATGTATGGATTCCTTGATCGACTACCATGACAAAAACCCTCTTTTCTCTCTTAGTCGTGGAACCAGTGTTAGGCCTTGCCCTACAGGTCTCATTATGCGATTGCAAAAGCACTAAGTAAGACAAGGAGGTGCACGACAGTACCTAGCTATGTGCCTGAATCTCTTACATTTATGGCATTGCACATTGGAGTAGTCCTTAGGTGGATGTGGTTGTTTTCCTTTCCCATTCTTTGGATTAAAGTTCCCATAATTCCCCTTTTATGGATATGGTGGTGGTGACTTGAATGCACTTTGGCCTTGCCTTTCTCCTTTGACCTATTCCACCAACCTTTTCCTTTTGTCTTTTTATTTTTGTTACCATCCCCATTAATTTGATTTGGAGCATTCCCACATAAATTCACTTGCATACCATGAGCAGGTAAAGAAGAAGAGGAAGGGTTAAGAGTTTTACCATATGTACCATAGTCTTAAGTCCACACATACTCACAGTCCGATGCTCCTCCTCGGCTTCAAGGAAAAATGTGAGATTCCCAAGAGTCATGAGGGTGTCACGTGCCACCAAGTTGGCTGTAAAATTCTCCCATAAAGGGGAGAGAGTGGACGAGAAGAGGGTCACTTGAGTTGGCATATCAAATTCCATGTCGGCCAACTCAATGTCCTTCACCATATGACAAAAATTTCTCACACGATCACCAATTTTTGAGTGATCCAGCATCCGTGAGCTTCTTCATGCTCATCACCTTGAGAGAGTAAGATGGAGTATTAAAGGATTTCTTCATCTTTTCGATGATTTCTTTGGTTGTCTTACACTTTTTATACTCTCTTGCTTAAGTGTAGGACATGGTGGCTAACACCACATTCTTAGCACTTTGAATTTTGGTGCTCCATGTCTTATAGGCATCACGTGTGCCTTGAGTGGCATGAAATCTTGGTACATTTGGAGGATCTTGCGTGATCATGGGGATGAGACCCTCCTCATGGAGTTCATAGCCCACTTTCCTCAATTTGAAGAAATTTGACCCATTAAACGTTTCTTCTTTAAGCAATTTTGTAACTATCGACTTGGCAGCCATGTGCAAACACTTGAGCAAAGTCCTAATATAATCTGGGACTCACAAAAAGACTCAAACGGACCTCTCATAGAGTTTTCACTTTGATACCACTTGTGAGTGTATAAAAACTTATGCTCTTGACTCGAACTACAAAGTAGCTAAAACACGATCCAATACACCTTGAAATTTTACAATGCACTTGCAGTTATAACTCGAAAAAACAAATTACAGCAAGGTCACTCTAACTACAATGGGTTATTGACTTACAAATACATTCAAATGAGAGGATACAACTCAATTAGGAAAAGAGATCTTAAACAATGGACTTCATAAAACTCATCACAACATGATCTCCCATATATCAACATACATATGCTCGAGTGTGCAATGCAACATGACTATGGGAAGCCAATCAGAGTTCTCGAGTGCCCGGTTTACGACCTTGGGTCTTAGCTGTGTGCCAATGTGTGACACGCGATGGCATATCTCAAAATCAAGCTAATTCATCATCTAATAAGTAGGAAGCCAAGCATCTCCTGATACACACTTAAAATATGAAAGGATTTGCAGAGATCTAAAGATCAAATCAAGTAGGAAAATCATGGGAGAAATCAAGACTCTTAAAACACAAAACCGGTTCAATTGAGTTCGCATTTTAGCTTATAAAATTTCGGCATAGTCTCCTCTTTTGAAATCAACAATTCAAGAGATCAAGAAGAAGATATAAGTAACTAATATGATCACGAAAAACTCGGAGAAATATCAACCAAAATTACTCCAAAATTCAAGGAAGAAAGCTCATAGAAAACCATATCAAAATGCGCATGGATGAAGCCTTTAATTATATGGATCAAGAGAGATCAATGATCATTTAAAGGATCAAAGATCTAAGCATCAAAAGATGAAGAAATATTGTTGTAAATGAGAGTTTACAGCAAGGAGAAACTAAAGGAATCAATGGAAATAGAAATGATTTTACTCGATTGTTGAAGGCTTGAAGACTAGATCATCCATGGTTTGAATTTGAGCTTTGGATCACAATTAATGAAGTAGTATAAGACAGTGGAGTTCTTCTCTCACCTTAACCTCACCTTAATATAAAAGAGGATCTTCGAGAGAGAAAGGAAGAAGAAGACTAGCTTGGGCGTGCCACTTCATGGAAGATTAGAGAGAGAGAGAGAGAGAGAGAGAGAGAGAGAGAGAGAGAGAG